GCCCACCCCACGCCCCGCAGCCGTCGGGCTGACCGCCCCGTCTGCCCTCCGCAGGCACGGGGGAGACGCCCACGCTGGGCACCCTGGACTTCTACATGGCCAGGCTGCACGGCGCCATCGAGCGCGACCCCGCCCAGCACGAGCAGCTCATCGTCCGCATCAAGGAGATCCTGGCTCAGGTGGCCAGGTGCGTGCGCAGGGCGGCGGGCTCCTTGCCGGACGCAGCCGCCGTCCCTGGGCCTCTGCGGGGCGCGGGGTCGCCCAGGTCCGCCCGCCGGGGCAGACGGGGTCAACTGAGGACGCGGAGGGGGCGTGGCCTGGCTTGGCCGGGAGCCGGGGGCGCTGAGAGGTGACGGGGTCTCCGCCCCTACTCCTCTTCTCTTTTCTGCTAACAGCGAGCACCTGTGAGGATGCGCCACCCCGGGACCCAGAGAGGACGTTCCCCACCCCACCTGGACGGAGAGGCTGGGGGCCTGCCCTTTGGGGCCAGGCCCTACGTGCACCTTGGGGGCTCCAGCCCCCCCAAATCCAATTTCTCCAGCATCCCTTTAGCTTCCCATCACGGCAGTTCCCTGAGCCCGGGAAAGCCCCAGCGATGTGTCCAGAACCTCAGCTGGCAGGACGCCGCAGGGCCTGGTTCAGACAGGACCACGCTGCACGCCCCAGGCAGCAGGCCGGGCTGCAGTACCGCCCCAGGGCCCCCAAGGCGCTCCCCACGGGGCACAGGGCTGGGAGTCCGGGCCGGGACACTGCAGTGGCACGTTCTCACACTGCATGGGGCCTCGAACCCCTGCACCGAGTGGGGGACCGACACTGACCGTCCTGCCCTCTTCCTACCCAGTCCCTTCCCGCTGCTCAACCTGGACTTTTTGAATAAAAAGCAGAATTTGTGTTTTGAGCCTGTGATTATGTAAGATTTCCTTGGTAGGGATGTGTGGGTTAGAAATGCACCCAGGTCCCCCCGGACATCTCTGCTGGGGGCACCAGGCCCGCTTACCTCTACCAGAGCCCCAGAGCCTGGGCCGCCCCATATATTAGATGGGGAAACTGAGGCCAGAGCTTGCCTAGGCTCACGAGGGAACGCCCGCCGTCCCTGTCAGTCTCCTTCCTTTTCAGAGCCAAGTAATATTCCCCCATATGGATGGGCCACACTGCGCTTGCCCTTTCATCAGTGGGTGGGTCCACCTTTTGGTCGCGAGCCGTGCCTCTGGGGACATTTCTGGATGGGGTTTTGTCTGAACACCTTTTTTTTAAGAGAAGTTTTTGCTATAGGGCACGTGCGCTCGCTAGAAAGACAGAGACAGAGAGATAGAAAGCAAGAAAACACGGTGATTTCTCCTCCATTCTCGCCCGGCGTGAGTTAACTACCGGGTCCAGGATTTGAACTGCGTTCAACTACATGGGAGTCCAGTGAACGTACCTATTACGCCAACTGCTGCTCCCAGAACACCTATTTTTCTTTCCAGAGAGAATGTTTTGCTATAGGGCATGTGCACTCACTGGAGAGACAGAGAGAGAGAGAGAAGTTGCCCCCCCAGGGGGATGGCCACGCTGCAATCCCTTCTCCATTCTCCTCTCGGGATCTTGGGCACGCACGCACGCACGCGCACCTGGTGTGAGTTTCAAGCTGCCGGGCCCAGAACTTGAAGCGTGGTTAGCCAGGCAGGAGTCCAGCACCGTAGCCACTACACGACCTGCTGGTCCTAGAGGACATTCTAAACAGCTTGGAGAGGGGCCGGGTGACCACGCAGCCCCAGGACAACTGACCCACACGGGAAGGGCCTGGGTTCTGGGACCCACAATGCCCAGCATCCAGGCTGGCTGAGGTAGGAGAGGGTGGGCGGCATTAGGACCCTGTTGAGGGGCCAGCGGGTGGCAGGAGGCATGGTGGTTAGGGGCACTGCGCTTCCATATGGTCAACTGCGGTTCAAGTCCTGGACCTGGCAGACTGCTTTCTCACTTCTCTCTCTCTCTCTCTCTCTCTTGCTGTCCCTCTCTGGTCAAATTAAAAAATAATAAGTAAATAATAAATAAAAATCATGTTTTAAAAAGCCCCTGTTGAGGGTGCTGTCTCTGTTTCTGTCTCAGTCTCTCTTAGAAGAAGTAAACTTTAAAAAATTATTGTATTTACCTTTATTTATTGTTATTATTATTTTCCAATTTGACCAGAGAGAGACAGAGAGGGAGAGAGAGTGAGAAAGCAAGCCGCCAGGTTCGAGACTTGAACCACAGTCAGCCATATGGGAGCCCAGAGCCTTTAACCACCACCCCACCTGCCGGCCCTGAAATAAATAAACTGGAGAAGAAAGCTCGGAGGGTGAGTTCCACAGCATCGTGGTTACGGGAACCAGATCCCACGTGGCCAACTAAGATTCAAGTCCTGGTCCCAGTGGCTTCAAACCCACGTGCGTGTGGGTGCCCAAACCCGAGAGGAGGGCAGAGGGCGGAGAAGGGACTGTGGCGTGGCCACGGCCCACAGGGTGCTTTCTCTCTCCGTCTCTCTGGTGAGCACAAACACCCTCTGACAAATAAAAATGAGAAGTTCCAAGAGGGACCAGCAGATGGCGTAATGGCTGCACTCCCATGTAGTCAACTTCGGTTCGAGTCACACTTGGCAGCTTAAAACTCATGCCAGGCGGGTGTGCGTGCGTGCCCAAGATCCCGAGAGGAGAATGGAGAAGGGATCACGGTGTGGCCATCCCCCCGGGGGAGGGGCGCTTCTTACTTTCTGTCTCCCCGTCTCTGTCTCTCTGGTGAGTGCACACGCCTTTAACAAAAACGTCTTAAAAAAAAAAAAGGTTCCGAGGCAAGTTGACAAACACCCATGCTGCGACACGCAGTGTTACCCCTCCGGATTGCGGTCCTGACCCCCAGAACCTCGAAACGTGGCCGTATTTGGAAACAGTGCAGATATAATTAGCTGAGATGAGGTCATGCTTACCACGAGATGACTGGTACCCTTATAAGAAGATAAAATGTGGGCCGAGACACAGGGAGGAGGCGGCCGTGGGCCGGCAGAGGCCAAGATGGGAGCGACATGCCAAAGCCACCACATCCCAGCACTGCCGCGCCACGCCCCAGGGAGGCAGGGGACAGTCCCGCGCAGGGTCTCGGGCGCTGGCCCTGCTGACACCTCCCTTCCACTTGGGACCGGCCCGTGGTACTGTGTGCCGGCGGGGTGCGACACCGTCCAGCCCAACACGGCACCGTTTACAGCTCCCCACACCTGCCCTGTCCGCGTTGGAGATTTGTTGATCTGGTTTAGCGGTGCTGGGCTGGTTGCAGACTTACAGAGCGGACTTCTGCTACAGAGCACGCGCACTCGCTGGGACAGGGGCCGGCGGGGGAGCGGGCTGGGGGAAGCGCCCCGGGGACCGCCACGCCGCGATCCCTTCTCCGTTTTTCCTTTGAGATTTCAGGCACGCACACATGCACCTGGCGTGTTTTCCAAGCCCTCGGGTCCAGGACTTGAACTGCTGTCAGCTATGAGGGATCCAGCCGTTTAACCCCCGCCCCACCCGCTGGCCCCTAGTCCTCACGCTTAGACCACCTAACTAGGTCTCCCTTAAAAGGTACCATTTTGCAGGCCTGCAGGTGCAGGGTGGTTAGGGTGCTGGATCCCATAGAGCCAGATCCATGGGTTTGAGTCCTGGACCTGGTGACCTGAAAAACATACTGGGCATGTGTGTGCCCCAAATCCCAAGATGGAGCAGGAGGAGAAAGGACCTCCTCGTCACCATCCCCCAGGGGCGACTCCCCACCCTATCGCAAAAGTCTTAAAAAAAAAAAATCCCATTTCGCAGCTATTTGTCTAACGGAGGTCTTTCGAGCATGATTCAGTGTGTTTCGGTACAGTCACAAACTTGCGCAAACATGTCTCCAATTCCAGAACATTCTCATCGCCCTGAAGAGCAGCCCCACCCCCATGAGCAGTCACCCCACCCCTCCGCAGCCCCTGCGCCCACAAATCCCCTTCCTGTCCCTGGGGACCTGCCAGCTCAGGACAGTTCACAGACACGAGGTCCCACCTGCGAGGCCTGTGTCCGGGGTCGCTCCCGGCCAGGTGGTCAGGGCGTGTCCACACTGGGGCCCGTGTCCACTGCTTTCTGAACCTTCCATGAACTTCCTGGCACCGCTCAGAGCTTCCTGTGACGCGTTCCCCTGCCGGCGTCTGTCCAGCCGGCAGCTCCGGTCAGGCAGGAAGACGGCTGTAGGGGGCTGCCCTGGTCCCTGCTGCGGTGGGGACAGGAAGGGCCGGGAAGGGCGGTTTCTGCGAGCGGAGGTGTGTCCGGCTCACGTCTGGGGCTGAGACCCAGAAGTTGCATCTTTTTCTTTATTAATTTACTTATTTTAGACATTTTTGCTCTCGGGTGTGGGCACTTGTCAGTAAGACGAGAGAGACAGAAAGTGAGAAATGTCCCTCAGGGAGATGGCCATGACGTGGTCCCTTCTCCATTCTCCTTCTGGGATTTAGGCATGCGCGCATACACACCTGATGTGAGTTTCGACCTGGCTGGTCTGGGACTTGAACCTCGGTCGGCCACATGAGAGTCCAGCCCCTTAACCGCTAAGCCACCTGCTGGCCTCAATTTTATCTATTTAGTTATGTATCTATCTATCTTTAAAATTTGCTATAGAACATGTGCGCTCACCAGAGAGAGAGGGGAAGAGAGAAAGCAAGTCACCAGGTCCAGGACTCGAACCGCGGTAGGCCATGTGGGAGCACGTTGACCACCAGTTCTGGCTCAATCTTTGAGGGTCTTCTGGCCGCATTAGGACATCGCGATGGGGTTGGGAGTGGGGCAGGGGTGCAGGCATCCATGTCCCTAGTCTCTGTCCCCCTCACTCTACTCACAAACCCACCTGGGGTGGGTCCCAGCCCGCCCTGACCCCCTCAGCCTGTCTCCTCCTTCTCAGCCGCAGTGGATTCCCCACCTGCTGGCTCGCTCGGTCACAGCCAGCCTCAGCTCAGGGATCTGGGGGCAGGAGCCGCCTGGGGCCTGGGCTTGGCGGGTCAGTTTCCCAGGGGACTTTCTGGGTGCCCGGTGCCCGCGGAGTCCTCCTTCATCGCTGACCAGGGACCAAGATGACTGGGGTGCCCATGGCCAGCTCCGGACCCGGGTTCCAGAGGAGAGCCACAGGACGGAGGGCAGCTGCAAGCTGCCAGGGGGTGCCGGCGCTGGGGAGGAAAACCAAGTCGGGAAGATGAGAGGGAGGGAGCGCGCGGTGACATCTGAGCACCTGCAAAGGTCAGGAGTGAAGGGCACAGGGCTGTAGAGTAGGGAAACGGGTCCCACCCAGGGGCGCCTCCGTGCAAAGGCCCTGAGGCCAACCCGGGCGGGAGGCCGGGAGGCCTTGCAGCTGGAACAGTGAGTGAGGGGAGCGGGAGGCACCAAGAGGGGACCGGCGGGTAGTGCAGGGCCTGGGGGCTGCGCGAGGCGGGAGCCCTGGGGGCTGCGGATGCTCCTGCCACGTCCCCAGGCCGCTGCACGCCCGGCTGTCCCGAGCTTAGTGTCATCCTTGTTGTTCCCGGTGAGCAGCTCAGGCCCCCGCGGACCGACGGCCTTCCCCGGGGAGGGCGCAGCTGGCCGGGCAGCACCCGAGCACCCGGACACCTGGGGCCCGTCCCCGCCCCCACGTGCCCCGCGGTGCCGCCTTGC